AGAGAAAAAAACTCAGTGATTAAAGCAGAGTTCCAGAAGTTTTTGTGTGTATTAAAAGTCCCCCACGGTGCCGGCATCTCAACTGTGGGCACCAGGCTGTGACAGCTTGTGGCTTCACAGCCTGGTGCCCACTGCACATGCGCGAATCGTGCTGCGCCTCCTAATTGGTCCAGCAGACTTTTGGGACCTGCGAAAGTTCCCAGGAGACTGCGGAAGGGAGGAAGGGGCTGAACTTCGTCTCACTTCGCCGCGGTGAACTGAGCCAGAAGTGATAATGGGTACTTGTCAAAAATAGGTATCTGCTCCCCCCTCCCCCACAAAAGGTGCCAGATATGGCAGTGGAGGCAAATAAGCGTAGCTTCCACTTTTGAGTGGAACTCCGCTTTAAATACAACCAAAAGAAAGCTCTATTTGTGTGAAAAATAGGATAATTTTTTTTTTTTATGGATACAGTGTTGCATGACCGCATGTCATTGAAAGTGCGACAACCTTAAAGATGAAAATTGGCCTGGGCAGAAAGGGGGTAAATGTGGCCAGTATTGAAGTGGTTAAGAAAATAGTGTTCTGTTTGAGGATGCAGTGCAATGTTTTTGTTAACTGTATTGAGTTTTGCCCACTGTATTTAGTGGAATAAAGTGGTTTAGTAAGATGTCTGCAGTTGGTCTCTAGGATAATTTACTATCCTTACTATCCTTTACATCAGCGAGAACAGTAAAATTCTGTAAACCCTAGCATGGAATGGTTATTAGCTTAGGACTATCAGAGGAATGGATGATATTTGGCTACTACTGGTTATCACATTTTGCACAATGATGTTTTTAAACCACTTGCCTACCGGGAACTTTTACCCCCTTCCTACCCAGGCCAATTTTCACCTTTCGGCTCTGTTGCACTTTAAATGACAACTGCACGGTCATGCAACACTGTACCCATGTGAAATTTTTATTATTTTTTTCACACAAATAGAGATTTCTTTTAGGGGTGTTTATTCACCACTGGGTTTTTTTTTTTCATTTTTTTTGCGCTATAAACATAAAAAGCCCAAATTTTTTTTTTTTTTAAAAATGCATTTTTCTTTGTTTCTGCTATAACATTTTGCAAATAAATAATTTTTCTACACACATTTAAGCCAAAATATATTCTGCTACATGTCTTTGGTGAAAATAACCCAAATCAGTTATTATTAATTAATTGGTAGGAAAGTTATAGAGTCCTATCTAAAAAGTTATAAATCCTGATGTACTGACCTCTGATCTAATTTCTTGAGGCCCCAAACGCCAGGACAGTACAAATACCCCCGCTTTTCGGAAAGTAGGCAGTCTGAGGTATTTAGTAGGAAGCATGGCGAGTTTTTTGAATTTGTCATTTTTTTGTCATAATTTTGTGGAAAATGAAGAAATGAAAAAAAAAATTCACTTTTTTTTTTATACCATGCTGACACCAATGCAGTAGAGCATCATCACATAACTGGTGCAGCAGTGATCAGGGGCACTGACTGACTGGCGACAGTATGTGGGGAAAAAAAAAAAATGTTTAATTTAAAAAAAAAAATTCCAGTTATTACTTTTTATTTATGTTTTTTTTTCTACTGTGACCATAGCAATACAAATTACCATAGTAACGTTGTAAAATTTTTTTTTACACATTATGATTGCTTAGACCAATGAATTTCATTGGTATAAGCAAGAATTATTACTGAAGGAGACTCATTCATTCAGTAGTTTTTGTTGTGTGATCAGCTGTGATTGGCCATAGCTGATCACATGGGTCAGATGGGTTGTGATTGGCCCAGTCTGTATATGTAATCACTGTGACCAATCACAATTCACAGCACGGTTGTAAGAAAAGAATGGCATGAAAGAAAGCCATTCATTGTTTACAACTGTCATGTGATGTGCTGTGATTGGTCACAGCGATCACATGACACTGGCAGCGGGCGGTGAAGTGATATGGCATATTTCTTTTCCCGCAAAAAGAAATATATTCATTACTCCCCCCCACCACTCACACGGGTAAAAAAAAAAACAAAAAAACATCCAAATGCCTCCCAGTTCTCCAGTCATCTGGTTTGCAAGTACAGTTCTGTGCAATTCACTTTTAGTGCCAATTGCAAACTTTTCCATCTTCATGATCATCAGTCTGAAATATAAAATGAAAGCTGGAAAATGTTGCAAGTAAGAGAGATATGATATTTGCTCATTCTCCAAATAGTCATTTATCACACATCATGGAGTTAAAAAAAATTGACAGGCAAAAAACACAGTAGCCAATATAGAGATGAATAAAAGCATTCACCCCAGATTCATTACACTATATACATATTTTGTTACAAAATGTCTATTTAGACCTGCTTTAACCACTTGCCGCCCAGCCACCGCATATAAACGGTGGCAGGGCGGCGCTCGTAGGCAAAACAACATTTTAAAACGGCTGCCTACAAAACAGGTAGGGGGCGCGCGCCCACCCTACCTGTCCCGCGGGTGTCAGCAGCGGGTCTCCGCCGCCGGGTCACGGCCGGTTTTTACCGGCCGTTTTCCCGCGATGAGCGGTGATCACTGACACAGAGCAGGGCTGCATTGTTTACACACAGCCCTGCTCTGTGACAGTTCGCCGACAAGCTGCAGAGGGAGAGAAGAGTTTCTCTCCCTCGATCAGCTCCCCCCTCCCTCCCCCCCGTCCAGTACACACCCCCGCCCCCTAGTAAGACACTCCCCTTACACAGCAAATTCTAAAAATGTTAACCCCTTCCTCCCCAGTGACATTAGTACAGTTTCAGTGGTTTTTTTTTCACTGATCACTGTATTGGTGTCACTGGGGATGTCAGTGACCCCAAGTCAGTTCCCCCCCAGTGTCAAAATGTCCGCCGCAGTCTCGCCATAAGTCGCTGGTCGCCGCTATATGTCGCTGATTGCCGCCATATGTCGGATCAAATACCACCGAAAGAAAGCTCAATTTGTGCGGAAAAAAATTTGAAAATTTCATTTATGTACCGTATTGCATGACCACGCAATTGTCCGTTAAACTAGCGCAGCGCTGTATAGCAGAAAAATGGCGTAAATTGCAGTATCTATACCATAGTTTGTAGACGCTATAACTTTCACACAAAGCAATCAATATACACTTATTGGGATTTTTTTTACCAAAAACATGTAGCAGAATACATTTTTGGCCTAAATTTATAACCAACTTTGAGTTTACTATATATTTTTTATAGCTGAAAGTAAAAAATATTGTTTTTCTTCAAAATTTTTGGCATTTTTTTTGTTTATAGCGTGAAAAATAAAAAGTGCACAGGTGATCAAATTACACCGAAAGAAAGCTCTATTTGTGTGAAAAAAAGAGACGTAAATTTCGTTTGGGTGCAGCATTGCATGACCGCGCAATTATCAGTTGAATTAGTAGCAAAAAGAGGCCTGGTCATTAAGGGGGTAAATCCTCAGGAGCTCAAGTGGTTAAAAAAATTATAAGAGAAAAAATATTCCGATTGCAAAAAGGATTTTTCACTGTGCTGCTGATTTAACAGCTTGCCCTCCAGGCCAATTTTTGCATTACGGCACTGTGTTACTTTAACTGACTTAAATTGCGTGGTCATGCAACGCTGCACCCACATTTATGTCCTTTTTTTCCCACAAATAGAGGTTTCTTTCGGTGGTATTTGATCACCTGTGTGGTTTTTTATTTTTTGCGTTATAAACAAAAATGGCCAACAATTTTGAGAAAAAAAAAACAATATTTTTGGCATTTTGCTATTAAACATGTCCAATAAAAAAAATGTTAAAAATCTAATTTCATCATAAATTTAGGGCAAAATGTATTCTGCTACATGTATTTGCTGAAAGAAATCCCAATATGTGTACATTAAATGGTTTACATGAAAGTTATAGCGTTTACAAATGGTGGTATATATACTGGATTTTAACATTTTTTTTTTTACTAGTAATGGCGGCGATCAGAGACTTATAGCGGGGCTGCGGCAGGCATTCTGACACAAGGGAGAATTGACTTGGTGTCACTGACATTCCCAGTGACACTAATACAGTGATCAGTGCTAATAAAAAGCACTGACACTGTACTAATGACACTGGGCAGGAAGGGGTTAACATCTGGGACGATCAAAGGGTTAACTGTGTGCTCTTTGCTGTTTCACAGTATGCTGTGTGTGCTTTTAACTGTAAGCACACTGCTGTGTATGGCTCTGCTATGCAGAGCCATACACAGCAGTGTGCAGGAGCTGACAGAGGAGGGAACTGTATGGTTTACATACAGTTCTCTCCCCCCATCGGTAATACTCGGCGATCACCGGGTGCTGGCGAGTAATCACCGTCCGGGACCCGGTGATTGACAGCCAAGGCCGCGAATGCTTGCACGTGCACCCTACCTAGAAATGCAAAATCACATATAGACATGATTTTGCGCACCCATGCAGTCCTGTAGCCGTATTTAAACAGCACTATCCAGAAACATTTTTGGTGATATCTTCTAGCATAAAACACAGTTATTTCCACTTGTTATATCTCACAACCGCATATTAATACCTGTATGCAAGTGATATCAGTTCTGTGCTTGTCTGTTTAATGATATTTTGTTTAAGCTGTTAGTATAACTGTTAGTATAACTATTGCTGTAAACATTAGCTAACTTAATAAAGTTGTTTTCAATGTTAAGTAAGTTCATTTTGATACTTTGTAGGTAAACCAGAGCAGAAAGCAACTGACAAATCTAAGCTCAGCTTAAAAACTGCTGGACTGCAACGGTCATCTTCTGATGCCGGACGAGATCCACGTTCACCGGATGCTAAGAAACCTCCCTCAGGCATTGCTCGCCCTGCATCATCGTTTGGCTACAAAAAGCCTGCTGCACCATCTTCTCCTCTCACTGGCAATTCTGCCACATTAGGCAAAACCCCAAAGTCCTCAGGAATCCCTGTGAAGCCCACATCTGGCACCGTAAGTGGGAACCGGAAGACAAGCTTGGATGTTTCAGGTTCAGCCGAGCCTGGCTTTCTTTCACCCACTGCTCGCACCAACATACAGTACCGCAGTCTTCCACGCCCTGCCAAGTCTAGTTCCATGAGTGTTACTGGAGGCAGGTGTGCCAGTCGGCCACTCAGTAGTACTGTGGATGCAAGCCTTGTGCCAGTACAAGGAAAGATATCAGGGACTCCTACTTCTCGCTTGAAAGAGCCATCCAAAGTGGCTAGTGGTCGACTAGGTGTTAACCAGACAGATCGTGAAAAAGAGAAGGCTCGTGCCAAAGCTGTAGCTCAAGATACAGAATCTCGAACAAGTGCACCAAATCCAGTAGAACCAACTGTAAATAGTGTAAAAGAAGGCACGCCAACTACACCTCACAGGTAAGGATTATTTTCTGGTGCTTGTACTTACTTGAGCTACTTACAGTCTTATACACCATTTAAGACTTCAACCTATTTTCAGTCCCTTTAACCCTTTTTTCTGCCAGGGCAGTTTTTTGCATTTTTTGCACACGTTTACAAAATCATTTTAGGCCTGAAGATTACATAAAACTCCCAAAACATTATATATTTTCTGAAAGCAGAGACCCTAGAGAATAAAATAGTGGTTGTCCCATTTTATTATGAAACACAATATTACCACAAGGGCCTAGTAAACTCAAAATTTCAGTTAAAAAAACGCTAAAGTTAATTTTAGGGTACTTAAATGCAATACATTACCCAATTTTTTTATGTAAAATATAAAAGATGAGGTTGCACTGAGTAAACAGAAAACCAACACGCTAAACTTTAAATTTGTGTGCACCCATGAAGTGGCAACAGACTTCAGTAACCTATATTTTCTATAGTCGACATTTTAAAAGCCCCCTATAGGTCTTCAGGTTAGCATTACAGAGGAGGCCTGGTGCTAGAATGATTGCTCTCACTCCGGCTTGCGCATGTATCATGTGTACTGCAATCGACATTTTCATGGATAGGCGCCCCCGACGCCTGTGTTTATATTTTTTGCATTCATATATGTGGAGGTGGGGGTCTCAAAACATTTTTTTTCTAGGGGGGGGGGGAGATTTTATGTGCTTGGGTGTAACTAATTTGTTTTTTTTTACTTAACTTTTTTTTTCATCATAAAGGGGACAAACAGTCCTCTATGTGGTCATTATTTGGTGACAGGTTCTCTTTAATGAAACATCCAGTGTCTATGTAATACAGTGCAGATCACTTTGCAATACATTCTTTCTTGGCTGGGAAAACTTGCATGGGGACCAGGAAGTGATGTCAAACACGTCGCTTTCCCGGTCAGCATCAAGGAGGGGAGGAGAGTGGACATGTTTCCATTATCTTCTTCCCTCTCCACAAGCCGGTACCCACTATGTCGGTCCCGGTCTCGCAGATGGGCAAATGGATTCAGGGATACATAGCGGGGGTGCACACGCGCAGGGGGCACCAATACCTGGAGTGTGTGGAAGCAATCGGGCAGCAGATCTGCTGCCCGAATGCTTCTGCCTGACAGGCAGGAGTCTGCTTGTCAGATTTACACACAATCAATGTGTGTAAAGCCCTGTTGTATGGACCTGGCAGTGAAAGGGTTAAAAATTATAAGTAAATATTAAGGTATAATTATAGGCAAAACTTTTTTTTTTCCATTTTGGATAGAGTGGAGAGTGATTAGAACATTTGTCAATTTTTTTTGCTGTCTGTGCCCCCATTTCAATGATAATGAATAGTTTACCATTATCAATGAAAGCAAAAGTAAAAGAAAATTCCAAATTTTAGGTGATCCACAGAAAAGGACAGTAGTTTTGGTGACTTGGGGGTCTCCAAGGAATTCTCTTAATTTGCAGGGATTTCCTCTCACTTCTTGTTTGGCTAGGTTGAAAGGAAGTGAAGGGAAATCTCTGCACTGGGACACAGATGGTGAAAAAAAATCTATCAGGGGTTACCTCCCTTACTCTATCCAAAATGAAAAAGAAGTTTTGCCCATAGTTCTACTTTTAATAAACCAAAATATTTCCTGCATTTAAGGGGTTTAGGAAAAAATAGAAGGAATGCAATGGCTTCTTTTTATCTGATGTTTTACTCAACCATATTCAAGCCTACGTCTGTACAGTTTGTCATTTATTCAGATCTTTGTATAGCTAGTAGTAGTCAGTGTCACTATTAGAATTGTTCCAGTTTATCCATGTTGAAGACATTTATTCACTCATCCAAATAGATTTTTTCAGTTCAGTATCAGAAACATATCCACCATATACGGTATATCCACCATGGGTTACTTATTCACCATTGTGTCAAGTAGTATATTACCATGACACTATGGGGTTGATTTATTAAAACTGGAGAGTACAAAATCTGGTTCAGTTGTGTGTAGTAGCCAATCAGCTTCTAACTTCAGCTTGTTCAATTAAATTTTAACAAAAAAAAACTGAACACTGATTGGTTTCTATGCAGAGCTGCACCAGATTTTGCACTCTCCAGTTTTAGTAAATCAACCCCTCTGTAACCATGATTAATCACCATGGTAAAATTCAATGTGAAAAGGCAGATAAGGATTGGCCAAGAACACAGCAGAATAATGTATGTAATAAACTTTGTGAGACCAGTTTTATTTGTATAATCCAATCACCAGGGTGTTATGGCAGGTGTTTATTGTTTGATGGCTGAAGGTGTGAATTGCTGGGCATTGATAATATTATTAATAATTATTTTGACGCCCTCCTTGTTTGCTTTGGCACCCAACCCAGGTTGCTCTCCTACAGGTCAGTTAAAAGTTTGTAATGTGTTTTGCTGGCAGTTAGGGCTCTAAACATATTTTATTTTCTTTTGTTTACTGTTTTCTTTATTTTCTAGGGCAATAACCAAACCTTTCATGAAGACTCCAACACTATCTAATCTGGATAAAGTGAACTCTAACAGCCTAGATTTTACGCCTTCTGTTACGGAAGTGGCACCAACCAAACAGGAACTTCTCTCAGGCGTTTCCTGTCTCACTCCAAGTCCAGCTCCCATACTGAATATAAACTCTGCCAGCTTCTCTCAGGGTCTAAATAATCTTAGGATGTATCCTAAACTCTCGGGCTTACATCGTAGCATGGAGTCACTTCCACTTTCTATCAGTGTCCCACCTATACAATTTAGTGGAGATGGAGAGAATCAAATTCCAGACACTGGGTGGAATGATATCTCCTTGAAGTCACCTGTACCTGACAGGTGAGTTTAATAAACTAATCCCTGTTATATCTTGTGATGGGTTTAGAGTGCATTGTCACAACCCTATTGCAGAGCTATGTACCCACTATTCAAACCTCACTTGATTACGACCTGAGTCAACAAGCATTTGTCTGTTCAATAAATTTATGGGAATGAAAAACCGGCTTGAAGCCGTTACTGTTCTCTCTCACTTTCCACAAGTCTACACCCTGCACTTATTCCAGCTTCTGTTTTGTTACTGCAATTTTCTTTACCACTGCATATTTGTTGTTCACAATTTTCAAAGAAACCTGGATATTTCATTGTGATTCAATATTGGTATTATTTAGTCGATGCAATAAGTAATTATTTAGTTATGTGCCCAAAAGATGATATCCTGATATTTAAAATGAATTTATCTTCATAATCACTTTTGAAATTTTCTTCTACAGCACTATCCAGGATAGAAACACATTACCCAAAAAAGGGCTGAGGTATGTACTAACTGCGCTTGCCATCTTAGAGATGCTATCCCTTTTGAATTCTTGAAAACTTTAAAAAATAACACTGCAAATGGAGGGTTACATTCACCCACCATTCTGTACATTTAGTTCTTTGACAGCAACATTCAGCACTTGGAAAAGTCTGATAAAGCACTTGCGGATCCTTGAGTGAAAGATGCCACCTCTAGCCAACAATAAAGCTAGAGACAAAGGGGTTTATTTACTAAAGCTGATTCGCTCACAATGTTGTGCACCTGTGCATGGTAGCCAATCAGCTTCTAACCTCAGCTTGTTCAGTTAAGCTTTAGCAATAAACCTCTAAGCTGATTGGTTTCTCTGCAGAAGTGCATGGGATTCTGAGTGAACCAGCTTTAGTAAATAAACCCCAAAGTTTTTAGTTCTTATTGGTCAGTTCAATGGATAATTAACAAGACTTGAAAGCAGTCTGTTCAGACTCGGATTTTGATTTGTCAGTTCAGCAGATCTGTAAAAATACATAAGAGCAGAAAACTGGTCTTGATACTATATGCAAATCATTGGTATTCAGCTCCAAGCAAATGGCAGTGGTAGGTTTTTCCACTCGGACTTCAGAACCCCCAAAAAGAGAGAACAACTATTCCACTATATGTCCTGACCCTTTACCATAACTTAAATTAATTTAAGTTATGGTAAAGGGTAAAGGGTATGGTAAAACTTAATTTAATCAAACTTATACCTCATGATGATGTATCCAACCCTTCTTGGATACATTAGCGGTGCCATAATTCCTAACTTTTTTGGCAGTTTCCAGGTTCCTGCTCACTTCTTGCTGCAATTCTCCATGATATAAAATAATTGCAAAACTCCACCAGGGAGAGGTGAACCCCTCATAATGGCAAATAAGATGGACAGACCAAAGAACTCAAGTATCGCCTTCTCAGCAGCAGAACTCTACAAGAGATATTGGCACATAGCTCAACTCTAGCATCTGTCAAAAACTGAAATATCAGTTTTGTGTTGGTTGAACACCTAAAATTAAACTAAACCCTTACAACTTAAAGTGGAACTTTAGTCAGAAAATTAAGTCCTGCTTTGTCTTTTCAGGCTGGTCCCTTTTGCATGTATAGCTATGTAAAACATTAAAAATAAGTGCTTATGCTGTTTAATATTCAGTAATGCATTGTCTAATTCTGCTCTGCACATGCTCAATTGCTCTCCATTGTTAAAGCATTGCCGAATTTGTAGAGGCCAATCTACTTACAGCCTTAAAGCAGAATTATCCTATCCTTTACAGCAGTGGTCTCCAAACTGAGGCCTGTGGCCCTTTGCTTGCCTTTATCCAGCCCTTGGGGCACTATTCCTCCCACTGATGCAAGATACAATTCCTCCCACTGACACCAGCAATGAGGCATAATTCCGGTTACTGACAACAACGGGGCACTATTTCTTCCAATGACATTAATGATGGGGTACTTTCCTCCCACTGAAACCAACAACGGGACACTATTCCTCCCACTGACACCAATAATGGTGCAGTATTCCACCACTGACCCCAAATGATGGGGCAATATTCCTCCCACTGACTCCAATGATGGCACACTATTCCTTCCCCTAATGCCAAACATGCACTGTTTACTCTCACTGATATATCAGGACAGTTTCTACTCCTTTAGACTTTAGAAAGTTTGGAGACCCCTGCTTTACAGCCATGGAAGCTGCTTCTGTTTGATCTGCAACTACTTTGGTGTTGCACATGTGATTAGTTATGAAACCAGCCATTCTTTGGTTTAACAGTTTGGTTGAGGACACAAGCAAATGGGACATTTAGCAATCCCGGCATTCCAGAAATGTTACTGTTTTTTGAAACCGATAAATCAATGGGTTTAGTTCTGCTTTATGATTTACTTCTGTTCGGGGGCTCTGGGCTTCAGCAAAAAAGCAGCTTCAAGCAAACAAGAACAGGAGCAATGCTGGAGACAATTTACAGCACACACTAATTATTAATGTGGAATGTATGCTCCTTGCTAAAGAAGTGTGGGCTCTAGTCACAAAAGCATATCGCATGCTGTATTTAGGTGTCCAGACACATTTTCCCTAAATATTGCATACGATCCTGAAACTGTCGATTCACGATACTGTTTTGCGGTATTTACTGCAAAATGCTCAAACTGCTCAGTAAATACCGCATGATAAGGCATTAAATGCAATTCACAGAAGGAAATAAATAATTAAATGCATGTGGTATTTAAGGAAAGTAAAAATATAATAGCCAGTTTTTGAGTAGTATCTGCCCTTTTTGGATCAGTTCTCTCAACAGTGATGCAAAGAAACCAAAATATGGAAATCAATGGGGCTGATTTACTAAAGGAAAAACTTTTTTTAGTTTTCGATAAAGACACATAGAGGGAGCACTTTGCACGTGCAGTTACTCCAGAGCTTAGTAAATGTGGGGGACCTCTGCTGACGTCCATCATCCAATCATGTGCAAGCATGCCTTGCGTGTGATTGCATATTCTTTGTAATGTGAAGCCTTACCACATGTATTAAGCTCTGGAGCAACTTGAAAATTGCACAGTCTATTTGCCTTAAGGTAGAACTTATTTATTTCATGTTGGATAGAGTAAGGGAGGGTTATAACTCCTGTCTGTTTTTTATTTTATGCCATGTCCCCATTGGAAGATGTCCCCTCTATTACTTTTCTAGAGACAACCCAAAATTTGGGATTTTCTTTTCATTTCACTTTCAATTATCATGGTAAACAGGACAAAGAGAGAGGGTGAACCTCCCTAATGGGAACAGAGCAGTAAAAACCTAATAGATGTTCTAGTACCTCTCCACACTATCCAAAACTGAAAACAAAGTTTTTCCTTTAGTTATACTTTATGTAAATACAACATATCTTTAAAAAATGTCAAATATTGAATGAAAATAGTATTAAAAAAACACACATAAATAAATACCTTTCTTCCACCAATAAAAAAGACAACATTGTATTTTTTTTTTTTTATTGGTGTAAGAAGGGTATTTATATGTGTGTGATTTTTTTATACTATTTTCATATATGGAGCACTGTGATAGTTCATTGCTTCCTGTCAGTATATCTGCTTGCTCGTACATCCCCTACAGCAAAAACATATTCTCACAGGTGTGCAGGAGACCTGCATGTCATCAGCGATCTACTGATCGCTGGTGCGATGCTTTACAGGCTTATTTTTGTCCAAAAGGTGAACTTATCCTTTAACCCAAAACACATAGCCCATAACATAACCTAACTGTTCTTACTGCATAACCCTTTGTGGCTCAAGTATTGGTGTTAAATATTCTCTCCTGAGCCCAAAATCACCTACTCAGAAATCCCAGATGTCAAACATGACTGATTCCTACTGTATCATTGTTGTTAAATATTGTCTGACTGAGCAACCAAAGATTCATCTCTGGGTACCTTAAAGGATGTGCAAGGTTTCTGAATAGAGGATACTTCTTTTAAACTGCAATACATTTGAAATGTTTCCTTTTACCTTTAACCTTTTTTCTAAGGTACCAGTCACATTCTCAAGATGAACCCAAGGAAAGGCGGCATTCACACACAATTGGGGCAATTCAAGATAATGATGATTTATCACCTCTACCCCCACCACTCCCACTAACTAATGTTGGCAAACCCCCATTAGCTTGCTTGGGTACGTTTGGACTATCATTTGTGTTAAGATTTTAATTTTATTATGTGTAACATCTCTTAGTCAGAGTCACTAACTATTCCTTCACATTATTCCATTTTTTGCTGTAAATGTTACATGGGGATTGTTTGCTAAAGGCAAGTAGGCTGTTCACTTTAGAAGAGAATTTTCCCTTGGCTTTGTGAATGAGGAGAAGCTTTGCTGAATTTCATTATCGAATCGTGTGCAAGCAAAAATACAGGTTTTTTTTTTCCTTGCACATTATTAGATATTTTTTGCAAAGGAACTTTTCACCACAATCACTAAGCTAAGGCAAAATAAACTGTAAATCAGCCTCATAATGTCTATTTAGTAGTCGTTGAGTTTTCTTCTGGGTACTTGGGAACTTCAGTTTCAATGTGTGATAAATGAGATTAGTCATGGCCAGTGGTGTCACTAGGGTTGGTGTCACTCGGTGCCATAAAACACGGTGCCACCCCCCTCTCCACTAAGTACAGACCCTGCTTCCTCAGTATAGACCCCCCTCTCCACTATTGATAGACCCCCTCCCTCAGTGTACTGAGATAGGGGTGTCTGTACTGAGGGACGGGGGTCTATACTTAGTGGAGAAGGGGGTCTGTACTGAGGGAGCCGTGTCTATACTTAGTGGCGAGGGGAGTCTGTACTTAGTGAAGAGGGGGGTCTGTACTGAGGGAGGGGGGTTTGTACTTGGGGAGGGAGCCTGTACTTAGGGAGAAGGGTCTATACTTAGTGGAGAGGAGGGCCTGTACTAAGTATAGACCCCCCCCACCAGTAAAAAACCCTCTCTTCACTATGTACAGACTCCCTTCTCTCAGTACAGACACCCCCTCCAATTGTGCTAGGAGGGAGATGGTGGGAGAGAAAATATCTGCTGGGGGGGGGGGGTGCTTTGGGAGGGAAGAGAGCTTGTGCTGTTCTGGGGGGTCGGACTTCAAATCCAGCCCCCACTTATAGCATTGGTCCTCTCCCCTCCCAAATTGCACATGTCCTCTGAACCTCACCCACCCACCCAGTCTGTCCAGGAACAATATAATAAAATTAGTACAGGCCTCAGATCAGCTCAGACATGCATAGCACTGTCCCTTCTCCCCCCCCCCTCTTCTTCCTATGTACATGTAAACAGCCGAGGAGGGGGAGCAGCTTTGGTCTGGACTCTGCTGTGTGTTGCAGTGAGACAGCAGGGACAGTGATCCGGATCAGTGTCACTGCTGACGGGTGTCATCCCTCAGGTGGGTGTCACCCGGGTGCGCTCTGCAACCCCACAGTGACACCACTGGTCATGGCAGATGGCAAAGAATTGTGGATCTTAGTCCAGGGAAGGTCTAGGCCTGCTGCAAAGGTTGAAGCTATAGTACAAGCTGAGCCAGTGTATTTTAAAGAAGCAGCACAGGATTGGTTACTTTCATGTGTAGGATGTTTGTGTAGCTGGAACTTGATGTCTGTGCATGCATGTTGGATTGCTACTTGTATGTGTATTTGTGCACACTGAAGTGGTTCAGTTTGGATCATTTTGCTCACGTTCCTTAGAGTGTGGTTGGTTGTATGTGAGCGTGTGTTTTTAGAGACAAGAAATGTGAGTTTGTTGGGGTAAGGGACTTTATTAGACTCTACAGTGTAGGCCTTATTGGGGTAGGGATTTATGAGAATAGTATAAATGTGAGATTAAAAGAGTATTATTGGTAAACAACACTGTAATATTAGCAGCTTTATACATGTGTACAACTATTATGACTGATAAACTTTTATACTTTGTTAGCATTTCCTCCTTACTTCAGCTCAGATCAGTTCATGCTCTGTAATTTTTTTTAAATAAGGACATTTTCCTTGACTGACTTTCATGTTCTTTAAATAGAAAATGTAAGGAAAAAATACTATAACATATTTTCTATAGGGCTAAAAGTATGTGGCTGTTTTTAAATATCAGTATTTTGCATATTATAAGTCTACTAAAGCACCTGTACAGCACTGCAGCAATGTGGTATACTTATGTTAATAACAATCATTGCTGCTATTAAATATTAATGCTGAGGATAATAGGAAACCTAACGATAAGCTACACTATAGTGCTTTTCCTTCTAGACTTGGTAATGTGAACATCTATATTATGGCACTATACAGTATTTATGAAATATTATTTGGAAGGCTTGATAATATGTTACCACTCCTTCATTTTTTCACCCTTCTTTTTTCCTTGCCAAATGGTTTCTTTTTAAAATCATTCATACCAAATGCTCTCTTCCAACTTCATTTAAAGCAGTTTTCCCAGTTCCTACCTTTTCTTTTACATCACGTGAATTAATCTTGTGATTCTCCATGTTTATTCCTTACATTTCCTTGTATCTCATGCATTCCCACCCATGTTCTGCCTGACCTCTCTTTACAGTGAGTCCATCTTCTGCTCCTCGAATAGCTCGATCGAGCAGTATTCCAGCTCAGGACTCCTCTTTTGAGCTTTTTGGTTCCTCAAACCTGGGAAGTTCATTATCTCTTGCTGACAGACCCAAAGGAACAATGACTAGATCTGGCTCATTTAGAGATCCTGCTGATGATGGTAAGTACATTGCACAAATGTAATGCAGCAAAACTGATCTGAAGATGCAATTATAATTTCATATCAACATTTTGCAATTTTTTTCACATTGTGGTGTTATGTAGATCTGGTGTTTATTGATTTAGATTTCCTAGAAGGATTGTTGCATAAACAAACTGATGATGAGCTTGTGCTTGGGGGGGGGGGAAATTGCTCTCCTTCCAGACTGGTGTCAATAAAGATACTGCAGAAACAGTGCAAAATACAGTTTTTGAATGATAAAATCTCATGCGGTCATCCATGAACATTTCTATTATGTATCGTGATGAAATTTTGTGTCTGGTAACAGATGTCTGGATATTACAAATATTATGTAGCTTTTATGTGCATTGACCGTTTTAGTGATAATATAGGAAAATGCCTCCACTAGATATTATTTGCATGCCTATAAATTTTAAAAAGGCCATCAATATTGGGAACTTTAAAAATAGTTAAGTGAATTCAAACTGTATACGCTAAGATACTCTAAGATTAAATTATCAAAAGTGGAGCAGACAGAATCCAGAGCAGCTGTACTTGGTAACCAATCAGCTTCTATCTTTAGCTTGTTCAGTAAGCTTTAAAAATTTAAATATGATAACAAATGTAATAGGTTGATGGTTGCCTTGCACAGCTGCTCCAAATTCTGTCTACTTCAGTTTTGATCAATTCTCTTCATTGTATCTGTGTAATCAGCCTAGCTATTATGATTTATTTTTATTAATTTCGCTGTACACAATGCAAAAGAAACACTTTTTGAGCTTTGAAAGTACTGGCGGGTTTTCATGCAGTCACCTTTAAGGGAGCTAGGTTCACTGCATTGAAGTTCATCTTTTAAGAAAGAAAATAGCGCACTCTGTGAAACTGCTGTAAATGCAAGCGTTGGTGATTATCAAAAGAAAGAAGCATGCACCATTTATAGCAATTCACATTCCAGAAAGTCTCCATGGCATCAGTGTTCACAAACTGTGAACTTACAAGTTTATGTATAGTGGCTTTATTTTTTTCGTGAAGCTATACGGTTTTACTAATCTGATGATCTCTTTATTTTTCAGTTCATGGTTCTGTTCTGTCACTGGCATCCAGCGCATCATCAACATACTCCTCTGTAAGAACCAACTGTATAAATGTGTAGCTGCAGCCACAGCTGCCTGTGCTGTGTTTAGAAATCATTATGTTCATTAGCAGTGCATGAAAGACTCTGCTTGTGCTTTGAATGCAAATAAGAGTGTAGAGATACATATTAATAAGCAGCTGGAAGACTGTTTGCTCATGCTGTAACATCCTCTCTTTATTTTTCTGTGGCATGCTACGCTTGTCTATCAGGCTGAGGAAAGGATGCAATCGGAGGTACATTCAGTGTTCTATCCTTTGTTGCAGAGCTATTCTCTTCCCTTTCATTTACTCTAACGATTTACTTCTAAATATTATACCTTATAGTCTACTAATATGGCAATATCTTACATATACTTACTATATTTAATATGTACTAATAATTTAGTGATATGTTGTGTATACTACTACAGTATAGTCTAATAAACAACAGATAACATAACATTATAGTATTTGTATAACTTTACCTAAACAGTATAACATTTAACTATTTAAATTTATAAACTTACATTTATTTACTTTGTTTCACTTTGCAAAATAGCAAATCCGCAAACTTCGGAGAGAACTGGAATCATCACAGGAAAAAGTTGCAACTCTGACCACACAACTGTCTGCTAATGTAAGTGCTGCATATGGTCTTTTAAACATATTCTCTGGTCTAAAGTATTTCTTTGACTTGTTCCACAGTTCTTTTTATACTCCCCAGACTTAGAATTTAAAGTAATACTACAGAAACATTTTATTTTAGGTTTTTATAGAGTGCAAAAGTGTTGAAGCCACTGTCAGGTTTTCATAAGGATATTTGTTCTTGTTAGGGAGATTTCCCTTCAGTTCCTGTGTTGGTGATGGTGTCCCTGGACAGGAAATAAGGGAAAGTATCCATCTGGAACGCAACAGCTGACAAAAATTCTAACCTTCCATCACTAAACCCCAAACTGGTTTTACTGCTGCTCTGTCTCTTGTTAGAAAGATTAGACCTCACTTTTTGTCTTCGTTATGTATGCAGTAAGAGAAAAATCCCAACTGGTACACAGACTGCAATAAAAACTGATAGAAGTTGTAACCACAGTTCTAAAACCTTTACTGGAATAACACTTTAAGTTAGATGAACCTTCTGAAAAATATATCATCTTGTTGTCTTGATATTATGAGTGGAAAATATAATAATTTTTCTACTCGATGTATTGTTATACTAGAATAAAAGCATATCAATGTGCAGAAAATGTGCACTTCTAAAATATGAAAAACTTAAATGATATTTAATGGTTAATGTAGTAGTTACAGGTTTGTGTTTTCCACAGATGTACAGTATTTCTCAGTTATATTTGAAGTAGAATTGCACATTCACAACCTTTTCTCACACCCCCCCCCCCCCCCCCCCCCCCCCCCCCCCATCACTTCCAAGCACACTTCACATCATGCAAACTGGTCAGTTAGCCCTATGGGGGAGAGTAATTGTAGGCCAGAGGTCTAATGCTCTAGTTTCAGTACTTGCACATAACATTTTTATGAGAAGGTAGGTGCCCATACCGCTAACTTTGAGCATATGCTGAGCCAATAATGTCTATGAAAGGACAGCACCAAGGTACAAGCATTGGAGGATTCTGCAGGGAAAGCCAGACCCATAGTTTCAGTACTTGCATATAGCAATTTTATGAAAAGTAGAGGTGCCTATACTAATAATTTTGAGCATGTGCTGAGCCATTAATTTTTATGAAAGGACAGCGCCAAGGTACAAACATTGGAGGATGCTGCAGGGAAAGCCAAAGCTATGGCAAATAAACTTTACCCACAGTGTGCAGGATTGGAGGTATGTTTAGAAGTGACCTGGGAGAAGAGAGTAATTTTTTTTATGTAAAAGTGCACTTACATGTTAAATACCTCAATGCCTGCCATTCATTAGATTTGTATCCCACAAGGTTTGAAATCAATTTTAACATAAGCATGGGTGGCAAATGAAAGGTTAAATGTGTAATAAAGATCAGACAACAGTATTGTGAACAAGAGAGAATTATGGTTACTAATACTAATTGTCCTAATCACATTGTTAAATTGCAGTATTTCACAAAAAAAAAAAGACTCACTGTCAAGCAGCCATTTTGCTGGACTACTTGCTAGTAATATTCACTCGTCATACTTGCTCAATAAATACATATACTCCATGGCATGCTGTTTATATAACACTTCAACACCTATGTAGAGTGTACCTATCCAAATTTTTAGGGTCAGCAACACTCCTACTTGGCCCTATTCTATTTCACACTTCCATGATGATGTTATAGTACAATAATGTCTTCGTCTTTGCTTTGTTAATCTAGCCTTGTGTATAAGGTATGTTGCGAAGTAAACTGCACCATCGAGTGCCACTATGTTAATGGCATATATAACAGTATGTAGAAGACAGTGCACAATGGTTTTCTGTTTGTGCAATTGCTCTTATATTCATATGATTTTGATAGAACAATGAATCAAAAGGAAAAAAAATGAAATTTTTGTTTACTCTGCTCATCACAACATATTTAATGCTTGAATGACTGGAGTGCTTTTGATCTGGAATGTCATTTACAGCATTTGCAATGGTCCATAGGCTTTACTATGTCTTTAACGCCAAACTGCCAAAGAGATGTTGGTGCTGCCTTAAGCAGCATATTTTTACCATGGATGTGTGATACTTGATGGATTACTAAACAATGACTGTACTTTAGTGTAATAATTGTATAGTCCCTTCTAGATTTATAACAGATATCTTGTTTTGTGATTATTTTTTTTTTAATCTTTTGTAGGCAAACCTAGTTGCAGCATTTGAACAGTCATTAGTGAACATGACCTCCCGACTTCGTCTGCTTGCTGATAATGCACAAGAGAAGGTAAGTAAAACCAAGCAAAATTGCTGATTTCGCTTTTGCTACAGTAAATAAGAGCCAATGCACATATAGTACTATTTTAAAGGAAAGGTGACTATTTATTATTGAAAAATCAGTTTTTCATCATGTGTATAAACCTTAGATGTAATTATTTTAAAATGCACTGCCTTAGCTTTGCCTCATACCTCTGGATATGCACCAGCAATGTGACAGAGCTGACCCTTGTTTAGTATAGTGTATATCACCTAACAAGAATGATCAGCCCTTGCTCAGTATCATTTAGCAGGCATTTCAATTAGAGATTTTGTGATGTGCTTCAAACTTTGTGATTGGTGAACATTAGGGATAAGCAATGATTTTACTGAAATTTTGGTGACATGTAGGACATTTAACTGATGCAAAGGGGAATGCAAAATTGGGGTGGGCATTAAACGGCTGCTAAGTGTTTTTCAATTATCCTGATCCTGTTTTTAGGCCAACACTAAAAAAGCTAGCCCTGAAGGCAACCCTAATTCTGAAGGGTATGCCAAATCCTAGCAATATCACTGACCCCATGTTTGTAAACAAAATCATGTAATCACCCTGAAAAAGCATAGTATTTTATTAACAAAATTATGTCACACAGCAGCAGAGTTGTTTGCATGCTCCTTGCTTTAAAGGGGAAAAGGTATTTTTTGCTAAATAGGCAGGGCCAAATTAGAGGTTAATTTTCCATCAAAATTGCACATTTCTATTTTAAGTAACATAAATTACTCCACTCATTATGGCCTTTGTCACCGCACAGTTTAACAATGGTGTACATCAACCATCAGGGAGGAACTAGAGCAGACCTGGTCTTGGGCAGAACTTCATGTTCCAGCCTTGTCAACTGTGTACTTCCAAGCAATTGGATGTTGGCATACAGACTTTTCCTCAGTCAATTCAACCAAGGGAGATTTTTCCCTACACGTGGAGGTATTTCCAGACTTGTGTCTCAAGTAGGAGAAGCTGGATATGGACCTCCTGGCTTTCAGGTTTAACAACATACTGCACAGGTTTGACTCCAGGTACAGAGATCCAGTAGCAGAAATAGTGGATGCTCTGGTAGTTCCATGGCATCAGTACATCCTTACTACATCTTTCCTCTACTCAAACTCCTTCCTCTCTTGCAGAATTCATATGGAGAGTATTTCAGTGTTCTCATAGTTTTGGACTGACCTAGGCAGATATGGTACTCTGACTTGATCAGACTCCTGGCAGACTGTCAGCAGTCATTTCGAGATCGTCTGGATCCTCTGCCTCAAGGACTAATTTACCACCCAGCTTTATGATCACTGGCTTTAACTGCATGGCTGTTGAAGCCCAAGTGCTGAGAAAGAGAGGCGTCTCTGAATCAATGATTTCCATGGTGTTAAAAGCTAGGAAGTATACTTCTCACAAGGTCACAAGATCCTGGTTTTCACAATTGGAAACTCTCTATGGAATGAATTCCTTCCTTTTTGCCGATAGGTCTGGACCAACATTTGGTCCTCAGTACTGCCAAGGCTCAGGTCTCTGTGCTTGTGATTTTGTTCCTTAGACCTCCAGATTTCATCTGTTACTCCTTGCAATCTGTACTTGGTCATGTAAGGTATGTTCTGCTTTACACTCAGAAGGTTACATTTCTTGTTGCCATAAGCTCTGTGAGGCGAGTGTCTGAGTAGATGACCTTATCTTGTAAAGAGCCTTACACAGACAAGGTAGTGTTCAAACCCAGAACTTCCTTTTTACCTAAGATAGTTTCACCTCAATCAGGGCATTAAATATATGACTCCCTGTTCTGCTCCATTTCATCAGGAGATCTCTCTCCATTGTCTGGATGTAGTTCTAGTTGTGATAGTTTATTTCACAGCCACTGCTTCCATAAAAAAAATATTTTTTACTCTTTTTGTCATTTCGTAAGAGTAAATTAGCTTCTCAATCCATCATTTCCTGGTGGCTCAGACAGACCATCCTTCAAGCGCATGGTCTTAGCTCCTCAGCATCAGGCAACCTTCTCAAATTTGCATTGCCACCTGGTCTTGTGTTCACATTCACAACAGTTCATGACTGTTCTGATGCTGGCTTTGGGCGTAAGGTCTTTCAGGTGGCTTTTTGAGTTTCAGGCAGACCCATTTATGTTGTTTCCAGGATTTTGTGTTCACTGTAAAATCTTTTTCTTAAAGTCCATTTATGAGCGCAGGAACATTAAATGGTAAACTGGGAACAGCTGCAACGCAGCCACGAAGTGGTAGGCCATGTAAAATGACTGAGTGGTATCTGCATATGCTGAAGCGCACAGTGTGCAGAAGTCGCCAACTGTCTGCAGAGTCAATAGCTAAAGACCTCCAAACTTTGTGTGGCCTTCAGATTAGCACAACAACAGAGCATAGATAGCTTCATGGAATGGGTTTACAATGGCTGAGCAGCTGCATCTAAGCCTTACATTACCAAGTGCAATGCAAAGCATCGAATGCAGTGGTATAAAGTACGCCTCCACTGGCCTCTAGAGTAGCGAAGACGTGTTCTCTGGAGTTACAAATTACGCTGCTCTGTCTGGCAATCCGATGGATGTGTCTGGGTTTGGTGGCTGCCAGGAGAACGGTACTTGCCTGACTGCATTGTGCTAAGTGTAAAGTTTGGTGGAGGGGGGATTATGGTGTGGGGTTGTTTTTCAGGGCTTGGGCTTGGCCCCTTAGTTCCAATGAAGGGAACTCTTAAGGCATCAGCATACCAAGACATTTTGGACAATTTCATGCTCCCATCTTTGTGGGAACAGTTTGGGATGGCCCCTTCCTGTTCCAACATGACTGCGCACAAGTGAACAAAGCAAGGTCGATAAAGACATGGATGAGCGCGTTTGAGGTGGAGGAACTTGACACGTTTGGGATGAATTCGAGTGGAGACGGCGTGCCAGGCCTTCTTGTCCGACATCAGTGCCTGACTTCACAAATGCACTTCTGGAAGAATGGTCAAACATTCCCATAGACACACTCCTAAATCTTGTGGACAGCCTTCCCAGAAGAGTTGAAGCTGTTATAGCTGCAAAGAGTGGGCCAACTCAATATTGAACACTACAGATTAAGACTGGTATGCCAGTAAAGTTCATGTGCGTGTGAAAGCAGGCGTCCCAATACTTTTGGCAATAAAGAGTCGTGTGTGTATGTGTCTATATATATATATATATATATATATATATATATATATATATATAAAAGCATTTGCAGCTGCTTAATTGTTGAAACCTCAAAAGCTGCTCTGGTAAATGTCAGCCGATTTTCAGTTTCCGCTGCTTGCTTGCCTGACTTGCAGTTTGCTATGGGGGGAGTTCTGTAGTTGGATGGGCCTTTCAGTACAACAAAGAAAAGTCTGTATGGATAGGCAATTTTAGAGTCTATCTTAAGAAGAAAAATGGAAACTTAAGCATGTACATAGTATAACTGTAGGATTTAACCGATATCTTCTAAAACCTTATTTTGGTCTCAAGACACTGAATGAAATAATTGGATAAAATTCATAAGGTTTCATCATATAAGGGTCAGAGTAGATGGTCAGCCTTCAAGAGTTGCAAATAGAAAAGGGTGAGGGTTGAAAGATCCGTCTACCTTGCAGTACACCCTTATTGCTAAGTGATGTACTAGTGCAGGCCTTGAAATTTCCACTCGTCTCCTCGCAGTGACGAGTGGAAATTATGGTGGGGGCGAGTGTGTTTCCCAGGGCCGTCTTGCTGAGCAGGCTCGGAACTCAGGGCTGGCTCCATCACTCGCACTGGGAGCCGTCAGACTGCTCAATAGTTGAGCAAAGTGAAAGCAAAGGAAGGAGTACGTGCTGTGCTCTGTGCCTCCCCCTAGAGTGCAGTACCCGGCTCTGTGAGTGAAGGTAAAGTACTGTACTGCAACTTTTTATAGGGCTGTGTGTATGTACAGTACGTGTGTGTGTGTGTTATTATGGGTGTTAGAGGATGGGGCATTTGAGGTACTGCTGGGTTGGATAGAAGGTAGAATATGCTTGGTAGAGTTATGGTTTGGTGAGTGAGAGATTATGGTTGTATGCGGTGCATGGTCTAATTATGATGTAGTGCTTAGGGGGACATTGGAGGCCCTGATGTAATATGGGGGGACTTTGGGGACCCTGATATAATGTGGGGGGACTCTTGGGACCCTGATGTAATGTGGGGAGACTCTGGGAACCCTGATGTAATGTGGGTAACATTTAACGGTGTCATTTCATGAGATAATTTACAAGCGCATGTTTAGGGTATGAACCACTGATGTATACATGTTGATCATATCCCCCCTTAATCTCCTCTTCTCAAGAGAATAAATTCAGTTCCTCTAATCCTTCCTCATAGCTGAGCTCCTCTTATCAGTTTGGTTGCCTTTCTCTGTACTTTCTCCAGTTCCCCAATGTTTTTTTTTTATGAATTGGTGCCCAAAATTGAACTGCATATTCCAGTTGAGGTCTTATTAATGACTTGGACAGGGGTAAAATGATATCAATCTCTCTGGAGTCTATACCTCTTAATACAAGAGAGGATTTTGCTCGCTTTAGAAATCGCAGCTTGGCATTGCATGCCATTATTAAGCTTGTGATCTACCAGAACTCCCAGATCCTTCTCCACCATTGATTCTCCCAGTTGTACTCCCCCTAGTATGTATGATGCATGCATATTCTTAGCCCCCAAGTGCATAACCTTACATTTATCAACATTAAACCTCATTTGCCGCATAGTTGCCCAATTAAACAGTGCATTGAGGTCGGCTTGTAAGTTGGAGACATCCTGTAAGAACATTATATCACTACATAGCATGGTGTCATCTGCAAAGACTGAAATGGTATTTTTAATCCCAGACCCTATATCATTTATAAATGTATTAAGAAAGTAAGGGTCCCAACACTGAACCTTGGGGTACACCACTGACAATCCTAGACTATTCAGAGAATGAATCATTAACCACTACTCTCTGAATACTCTCTGAATACAATCTTTTAGCCAGTTTTCTATCCATTTACATATGGATTTTTCCAAGCCCATAGACTTTACCTTACACATTAGCCGTGTGTGGGGAACTGTGTCAAAATATTTAGCAAAATCCAAGTATACCACGTCTACCGCCACCCCTCTGTCCAAGGTTTTGCTCACCTCCTCATTAAAAATCAGAAATCAGATTTGTTTGACAATTTCTGTCTTTCATGAATCCATGCTGTCTGTTGCTTGAAATATTTTATTCCAGCAAGAACTCATCTATGTGGTCTTTTATTAAGCTCTCCAGTATCTTCCCAACTATAGATGTTAAACTATAATTACTTGGTAAAGTCTTTGACGCCTTTTTACATATAGGCACCACATTGGCCTTTCACCAATCTAGTGGTACTATGCCAGTCATTAAACAGTCCCTAAAACTTGAGCAACAGACATGCATAGGGCAGCCCCTGTCAATAAGTGAATGGGCTGCCCTATGCACAACGCATGTAAAACACGTTTTCAGAATCTCAAACAGGAACGCTAATTCCCACAATGCGATATCTGAATTGGGTCTCAAGGTTTACATCTGCTAAGAAGCTGTACCCCATTCAGTAGTCAAAAAAAATATTGTCATGAGTCCCCCCCACCCCAACCTTACCTCGATTGGAATGTGTTGGCGTAAACTGAAGCCACAAGACATGCAGCAGATTGCTTTGCCACTTGTGTTGGGACAGTGTTAGGCAATGCTATTTAACACAACTGTTTCATACAAGGCCTGAAGTCTAAGTCATAGAGCAATTTTGCAATTACAACCATTCATATCACATTCATTTTACAGAAAGTAGCTCTGGTCATTTCAGCAGCAGTCCGGCTCTGCCTACAGCTAGGAGAAGGGAGCCTTAATTGGCTTCCTCTGCTGCCATTTACATGTAGACCCCACTACTGGGCTTTGGTTGACACTTAGGAAGCCTGTGTACAGGTAAGATCGGCAAGCCTACACACTGTTTTATTACATTTAAACTGTGTCAGTGCTTCAATGTGGCTGGCACTGGGACCAGCTGAGGCTCATTTATATGATGTCCAACACTTTGCATACTGCATGTTGGGCACCAGGGCCACACAGCATCTTCCTTTTTATTCTGTGGATACTAAAAAAGGGACTTAACTGATTTTTTGGGAAGCCTGAGGTGCTAAAGTGGGTATCTGAAAGTACACTTAGGCATGTTAGATATCAATACAGTTATGTTAGGTTTCTAAATATAAACACAAGCTCAATGTATAAATAAAGTTTCATCTATGTTAAACACAATAGAAAGCCAAATAATTTTTTATTTCTTTCATCCTTGCGATTTTTTTAATTTTAGGACTCAGAGCTTGTAGAACTGAGAGAAACAATTGAATCACTAAAGTCCAAGAACTCCGAGGCACAGGCTGTCATCCACGGGGCACTGAACCCTCAAGATCATGCACCACGGGGTATGCTAGATTGTTCTGTTAATTGTCATTGCACAGTTTTTAACAGGCTAGCAATATAAACAATTAAACATGACTGTTGTGAGTACTGTGTTTTAATTTGTTTCAGTGGTTTACCTTAGATATAGTATATGGACTAGATTCATCACTGTTTTTATACTATAAACTGATTTTCAAATAGTTGCCAGACTACTAGGCCAAATGCTGATATTGACTTTGAACTGACTGTGATCTTTTTAATAGTTTGTGTAACTTTTTAAATGCAGTTACAATTAAGTGTCCTATTGTGCATTTATTTGCAATCGCCACTTGTTATTCCATCTCATGTTGCAAGTTACACATACTGCAACTTGTTACAAAGAACCATATCAATCACGGTGAGTGCAGTTAGGCCTTAAGTCATTTCTACATGATGTCCCTTATACACCTCATGACCATCCACGTCAGGCAGTCTTCTCATTTTGAAATGTAAACAGCGAGGCACAGTACTGGCTTATCACAAATATTTCATTCCGGCAAAGATTGCCAACTGCTAAGGTTCTCATATGTGATTGTTCATTCATACACTGTGAGTATGATTCTAACTAAAGTATCTATGTCAAGCAGGAGTGTCTGCCTGTGTATGTGCAGCTGCAGACCTGCTGTCGTTTACGAGACATCAATATTGGTTTACCTTTGTATTAACAAGCAAACACTGTACCCTAATGCATCTTTCTACCCAACATGTTGCAATACTTTAAAAAAAAAAAAAAGCACAGTCAATGCTTTGTTTCCTGTTTTAGTGTAGAAAGTAGTATGGTTATGTGATTATTGATAACGTTTTTTTAAAAATGCTGGAAGGACCACAGTATGTGCTAAATTTACTGGACAACAGAGATTTAGTTTCCTGAACACTTTTTGGTGTATCTTACAGATTTTGGGCTGCTAATCATGAAAATAACCTGTAATTTATTATATCAAGTATTATTTTATAGAAATCTGTGTTTGCAATGTCTTGTATTTTCAGTTTACTAATTTTCTCTTACATTATGAGGTGCTTTGCGTAGTGCATGCATGTCCGGACATGCACCCAAGGAATATTGCTAAAGATTTCTGGAACTGGTACAGTTTGGGCATGACTAGGCATGCTTAGGCTGCATGGATGTTGCCTGAAAAGGCTATAAAGGCAGCTCAAATGCACAGATGCTACTCATTTGGTTAATATCAGTTTCCATGTACTGTGATGTGATTGTTTCAAGACATAGCATTGGCCATGTACATGTAGTTTACATAACAAATAAACCAGTTATAGACTTGCTACAGGACGATTGGTGATAGCAGAAATGTCTTGCTAATGTCCAAACTGCCATGAAACCTTTGCGGTGAGTACACACTTAAGTCTCATGATGCACCATGACTGGACCTGTTAAGAAGGTTTATAAACTGTACTGTGGTTGCAAGATTGGTGATCAAGACACGTTCTGGGTTTCTCATTTTTGTTGTGCAAGATATATTTTCGATCTTCGAGATTGGTTCGGAAGAAAGCGGAAGTTACAATGATGTGGTGAGAACAGAATGATCATGTAACAGACTGTCTGACTAATGTCGCTGCTTTCTCTGCTAAAAATAAGAAATCAATTGAATAAACCAATGTGACTTCAGATGTGTGACCAATGCCATATGACAACAGTCTTCCAGTATCACCAAAGAAATGGCGCTTAGACGAAACAAACGAAGATGTTGCAATGCCCCTTCCCTTCATTTAGGGCTTAGAGCTGTCCTCACTGAGATCTGCACTGAGAGACGTCAGATCCCCCCCAAAAGAGCAGAGACCTGTGTGTGTTTAAAACGATCTACAGAAGAAATAACTGCAGATAAACAGGTACAACTTATGTAGGGGGAATTGTTTCATCTCTGTTTACAGTACCCAAGGCTAGTCACTTCACTGGCTTTATGTGAGGATTTACAATTACTTTAATTTCATTGTACAGATTGACAACCGTGTTTTCTGTACAGACTTTGATGGTTTGTTCACAGCTTTGGGTTGTGAACATGGCTCACTAGAATGGCATCTCTGTATTGATTCTTCAATGTTAAGCCTCAAGGCTGTCTTGTTACACAGTGGTAATGTACACCCTTCAATACTTGTTGGCTATGCTACACACATGAAGGAAACATTCAAAAACATGGAACTATTGTTGAAGCACATCCAGTAGACCAAGTATAACTGTAATATCTGTTGATGTAAAAGTAGTGTGTCTGGATGTTTTTCAGATTCCTCCAATAAGGGCCTGCTGTTTAAGCACAGTTCACTACACCTATAACCCTTGCCTCTCTTTCAGTGGAACAGAATTTAACATTTAACAATGTACAGTTGTGTTCAAAATAATAGCAGTGTGATGAAAAAAAGTGAATAAAGCTCAAAATCCTTCTAATAGCTTTTATTTCCATACACACAAATGCATTGGGAACACTACACATCCTATTCCAAATCAAAACATGAAGAAAAATATATCAAATTTGTGTTGTTCATCTAAAACAAATTGCAGAAAAGTGAATATTAGATTGTTCAAAAAAATAGCAGTGTTTGTATTCACTATATAAACTGAAAAATGTTTGAAGATTTTGCTTTCCTTTGAATCACTTAATTAATATTGGACGATGATTGGACTACATTCCACAGTTCTTCTCTATTTCTTGGTTTTGCCTCAGAAACTGTATTTTTGATGTCACCCCACAAGTTTTCTATTGGATTAAGATCCGGGGATTGGACTGGCCACTCCATAACGTCAACTTGTTGGTCTGGAACCAAGATGTTGCATGTTTACTGGTGTGTTTGGGGTCGTTGTCTTGTTGGAACTCCCATTTCAAGGGCATTTCCTCTTCAGCATAAAGCAGCATGACCTCTTCAAGTATTCTTATGTATTCAAACTGATCCATGATCCCTGGTATGCGATAAATAGGCCCAACACCATAGTATGAGAAACATCCCCATATCATGATGCTTGCGCAACCATGCTTCACTGTCTTCACAGTGTACTGTGGCTTGAATTCAGTGTTTGGGGGTTGTCTGACAAACTGTCTCCGGCCACTAGACCCAAAAAGAACAATCTTACTTTCATCAGTCCACAAAATATTGCACCATTTCTCTTTAGGCCAGTCAATGTGCTCTTTGGCAAATTGTAACCTCTTCAGCACGTCTTTTTTTCAACATGTGGGACTTTTCGGGGGCTTCTTGCAGATAGCTTGGCTTCACATAGGTGTCTTCTAATTGTAACAGTACTCACAGGTAACTTTAAAACCTTCTTTGATCTTTCTGGAGCTGATTGTTGGCTGAGTCCTTGCCATTGTGGCTATTCTTCTATCCATTCGAATGGTAGTTTTTCGCTTTCTTCCACGTCTTTCAGGTTTTGGTTGCCATTTTAAAGCATTTGCGATCATTTTAGCTGAGCAGCCTATAATTTTCTGCACTTCTTTATATGTTTTCCCCTCTCTAATCAACTTTTTAATCAAGGTACGCTGTTCTTCTGAACAATGTCTGGAACGACCCATTTTCCTCAGAATTTCAGAGATAAATGCACTGTAACCAGCATGTACAACATTTGCTGCCGTCCTTCCTTAAATAAGGGCAATAATTGCCACCTGTTTTTCAAAGAATGAATGACCTCACTAATAGAACTCCACACTGCAATTGTTTGAACATGCCCCTTTCAATTAGTGATTCAATTACACAGAATCAGCAGCATGCATGTCATGACTGTTGGGTCTGTTGGATTTCTATTACTCTACTACACCTGCTAGTAAATTATTTGCCATGTAGAAATATAATTTCTACCAAAAACAGTGATTGATTAGGTTAGTGATGTCTGACTGCTATTATTTTGAACACAACTGTAGATAGGATTCTAGCATCTCTATATGTTCGCAGCGGATAAGGATGCATCTGAGGTATCCCGATTGTGCTTTACTTGGCAGAAGGATATTCTGACTCTTACTGACGATTATCAGGAAGAAGGGGTGAAACAGTATTTCCCTCCTATAATCTCCGCCGGAGATGGGTACATTGAACTAAAATTCCTCTATCAATTTTATTATACACCACAGAGACTGTTGGTGATCTATGCTATGGTTGATGAACATTGTCCAAAATGCCATGGTGGGAACATTTATCCATATGGTTTGGACTTGTCCCTGTATACAACAGTTTTGGAATGATGTAGTGCAATATCTTAACACAGTTACTGGATTGAAGCTTAGTATAAACTCCATACGCTTTTGGGTATTTTTGAAATATATGCTACTTCTCCCTATAAGAGACTATTTCTCTTATATACTGCCTTTTATGCTAAGAAAACTATCCTGTTTAAATGCTGGATCTTCCTACTCTCCAATTATGGAGGTCAATGGTGAACGCTGTCTGTCCCCCTATACAAACTTTTATATATGGGCAGAAAACTGCCCTAAAAAATTAAATAAGATGTGGGCAGCCTGGATGGAAGCTATAGGCTTAACCATGTGATAGGAAACTAATACTAATGTATTGCTAGATATTATGTGCTATATCTTAATTTTTTGACTTGTGGCTGGGTTTTCTGCTCCATTCCCTCCTCTGCCCCCCACCCTCCTTTTTTTCTTTATTCTTTTAATATCCAGGAATATCATATGCTGTAATTCTGACTTTTCTTGAGGAATAGACATTTGAGGTTTTAATTACCATTGAGTTTTGTCGTTTTTTTTTCATTTGAATAACTGGTCTTCGGCTTTTGGAACTTTTGTGCAACTTCTCTAGTGCTGTACACTTCTATCCTTTTTGTGTCAGTGCCACACATGTCACTTGTTTTTGTTCTTTTTAATTATAATAAAGAATATCTGTTAAAAAAAAGTAGTGGGTGCTTGGAATGCAGCTTAGATACAGTCATGGCCGAAATTGTTGGCACCCTTGATATTTCTCCAGAAATCATGTATTTCTCACGAAACGTATTGCATTAACACATGTTTTGCTATACACATGTTTATTCCCTTTG